CTTGTAATTTTCTGTTTCGTTCATTTGATATTGCTGAATCTCCATTTCAGTTTTCACTGATCATACTTGCTTATTCTATAGTTCCAAGGTAAAAGAACAGAAGACTGTAACATTTATGTTTTTCTCCAGGAAAAAGAGACTGTACTCTCCCTGTAGAGAGGGAGTTTGTCTTATATATCTTATATCTACTTCACATATGCCTTCTGTATAACAATCACTAAATATATACCTTGCCTATGCTATCTCATGCTAATTTTATGACACCGAGCAAGCAACCTACACTGGCTGTTTCTGCTTCCTTATCTGTTTCATTCTTTCTTCAATCTGGCTTTTAACCCTGCATTCTCCTGAGCCTACTCTTGCTAACAGACCTTCTAACTGCCACATCCAGCGGATACTTCTGTTCTCTGTGGTACTGTCTGCTGTCCTCCTTCCCTCATCTTTCACTCATGCTTCCATGCCTCCACACCTCCATGCTCTCCACGCCTCCATGTTCTCTTGGCCTCTGTGTGGTTCTTCCTTAGTCTCCTCTGTATGCCCTCTTCTACCACCTCGCCAAAGTTGGTAGTCCCCAGAATTATAATTTATCTTCCCTTCCCATCTCATGTATACCTTCCCTAACATGTTCATCCTTACCTGAGGCTTTGACTGTACTCCTAACTCCCAATCTACATTTCCAACTCTCACCTCTCTCCTGAGCCTTGGTCCTGTATCTCCAACTGCCCTACTTGAAAGCAGCACCACCAGGGCAGCCTCTGAAGCACATAAACTTAATTTGTGATTTCTTCTTCACCCTCCCAATCTGGCCCCTCTCCTGAGTTCTTCATCTTAGTTCATAACATCACTGTTAACCCAGTCATCCAAGTTAGGAAAACTTAAATTCATTTATAATCCATGAAACCATGAAAAATTATCTTCTAAAAACCTTAAAGAGAGCACTTCACACTCTCAAATAAAGACTTCCATTGCCCAACTACTGACTCTCAGCAGAAGACCACCTTCTTTGTCTTCAGCATGAAGCACCAGGCCTAATCGACTCTGACCCACTTCTGACAGATCACCTCCTCCCACATCCCCAGGCTACCCTATGCTTGAGCCCCACTGGACTATTTACAGTGTGAGATTCTTTCACATCTCTAGTCTTGCATATGCTGCTGCTGACACCTACAGCAGTGATTCTCAACAGGGCACAATTTTGCCCCTAGGGGACATCTGGCAATGTCTGGGGACACTTTTTGATTGTCACACTGGGAGAAAGGGGTGTTACTAGCATTTAGTGGGTGGAGGCCAGGGATGCTGTTAAATATCCTACAGTGCATAGGACAGCCCCCACTACAAAAGTGTCCAGCCCAATATAATAATGCTGAGATGGGGAATCCCTGCCCTAGAATCTCTTTGATTTCTCTGTCTGATGAACTCCAGTTTACCTATCAAGACTCGGTTCAAATGTCACCTCCTCTGGAAAACCTTCCTCTACCAACCAGGTCCTCTCTCCAGATCAATAATGTCACATCTTTCTACTTTTTCATACACACCTCTATTTAGCACATCACATATTAGACTGAAAATTTTTATGTTTACCAGCATGTCCCTATTACTAGAATGGGAGGTCCCCTAAATAGAGACTGTATTTTACTCATCTTTTATTCTCAGTGCTTGGGACAGGGCCTGGCACTCAAATGTGTACTGGATGAATTAAACAAGACACATCTACAGAGAAAACAAAATATTTTCAAGCAAACAACTCAGCACTCTGAACCTGTCTGAAATTAATGATTCCTCAGTTCTAAGAAATATACATGTACAAATATACATTTTTCACCAACTTTCTAAAACTAGTCATTAACATTACGGCATCACATTTTAGAATATTTATAAATTACATTGGTTTTTATAAGTGCTCCTCAAAATAAATTTAACCAAATCTCTCTAAATATTCTGCTAAATTTAGTAAAACAGGGACTAGAAAATAATGGAACATTAAAGTAAGTATATATTTAAAACATCTATTTTAGGAAGAACAATTAAATAAGAAAATACTGAAATGTATAATCGTGAGATCAGTGTTAAAGGCTTTGAAATAATTGAGACATAAGTTTATTACAGTTCTACTATACTAGAATAGTAGCAATTTACCTATTTAGGATTAAGTTACAGATAATGAACAAAAACTTTTATAACAAAAAGAAAAAAATGTAAAAACTAATTCTAATGAAAATATGAATATAAGCAAAGAATGGAAGACATTCAAGCTTGGGCAAAACGCTAATGCACATTAAATAATAGGGTACTGAAATCTCTGAGCATCCTAACAACATAACACAGCAGATTCAGAAAATAACAGATGGGGGAAATAAAATAACAGTAGAGAAAACTAACTACTATACAGATTTAGAAATCTGAATAGCAATCATTTTTATAACTGTATACGCAGTACCTTAGTTCCTTAACCTGCTTCTTGATTGAACTGCCAAAATATTACCCATACTGTTAAAATATCAAATATTTATTTTCAGATCAAAAGTCATTATATAGCCTTTACAAAAGTAGTATTGTATTTCAAAAGGCATACATAATAAACATATGCCAGTCACTGTTATGTTGTTTGCTATGCCTGAAATAAACATTATGCAGACAGACTACAAAGTCTCATCTTCACTCTAAGTTGTAAACACAGAACACACACAGTGTCCTAGATACAGGTAAAAGTTCTCACTAGATTTAAAAACTCAGTCATTAATGAGCTGTTGATTATAGAAAGCTAGAAACTCAATCTTATACTGCTAGAGACTGGTAGCTAAACATATAAGAAAAGAATGTGTAGACTCTCAGTGCTTTAGAAACCAGGGTCTCTGACCAAAGCAGTGATTTAATTTCACCACTGCTCAGTACAGATAGCTGACATTACCAAATGCTACTCTAATATCAACTTGTTAAATGTGAATCCAGACTCAGCATATCAGAATACTAACCCAGACTAACTGGAGTCATGGGAAATATTTTGGGAGCTGTTTATTTATAAATGAGTTACAATATACCACTATAATTAGATTAATATATAATTATTGATAAACACAGGATTATTTCTAAAACCCATCATTGTTGCCACTACTATATTTAGAAAAAGCAACAGTAGAATCTTCTTCATAAAACAAGCCTTGATTTATCAATTAGATCTATTTAGATATAGTATAAATTAAATTTAACTGTCACTGTATGGTTTACAATGCTTTTATAAAGAGAAGTCTAATAAACATTAAAAGGGGGACAATTTAAATCTCCAGCAAACTGCACACTTCTGAACTACTTTATAATCCAATAATCTACCAAAAGATAGAATCTGCACAAAGTTATACATTTGATTGTCACAAAAAATATTTAAGTTAGCTTACCTAAGCATAAATAAAACCAGTAACAATGGATATTTTTAACAATGCAAAAGGCATTTGATCCACATTTCATTAAAAAACACATTTAAAATACTCTTCTCAAAAGCATCCACAACAAACTATAATTATTACCATAAAATAAACTATTTTAAGGTATTTCTACAAATATTTATACATGAATTATTCCTTTCAGGTTAATTATTTCATTACGTGTAAAAGAAATTTATAAGTAACATTAATTCAATTAGCATAGTATTAATGTTTCTCCTCAGTGCCATTTCATTTCTTCCTTTTAGGAAGAAAAATAGTTGATTGGATTATAATCTCCTAAAAGCTGGTTTTAGAAAAGTTTCCTAAATGGAATTAAAAATTGTAAAATATAGATCAGAATTTAAAATCTGATCTTTTTTTATCCTAGTAAAGTAGTGGCTTATATTAACATCTGGGCATTGGTAACAATTGTTATATTTACCAGATTTCAGAAGACAGAAAATAAACTAGCAATTACTATTTTATTCACCTAAAGCTACTTATCCAGAAGATTTTTTGTTTTAATCTTTAATAAACATACTGGATGTTACAAAAACACAGATAAACAGATAAGGTTTTTTCCCCCCAAACAATTATGTACTGTCATGTAAAATTGCTTTAGTTAGAAAATTTTTTAAATTTCTTGGAATCTGGCAAAACATTCCAAATACAGAAATTTTAAAATTCTATTTCAGTTCAAACCATTTTAAATACTTTGGAAAGGCCAAATTACATAAAGAACTTTTGGCTAAGATCCAAGAGTTAAATTACTAATATAATAAAGTTGAATTGTCAAAAATGAAAAGGTAAATAGAAAATTGTGGGAAATGCCTAGCAATTTAAACCAAATTCAAAAATATTAAAACTTAGAATTCAATATTGTTGAGTGAGTGAGTTACATTTTAGAAGGCAGTATTAACTCGTGGCTCAAGAAAAATAGGGTGGAAACAAAATTCCATAGTTAAGGGTATATACAAATGCAAATGCCATTTATTTTTCCTCTGCTTTAAACATGCAGCATAATAGTTTTTATGAATGATCTTATCAATACATGTATTTTAGAGATACAGTTCCTCTATGATAATTTATAACAAGATCTTCACACTTTGATATGGGTATTTGTTTAATGTTTTAAATAAGCATTCTAAATTTTACTCTATTTCATAATGATTAAGAAGAGGAGAAAGCAAAATGATGATTTTGAAAATAGGAATAAAATACTGAGCTACAAAATAGAATAATATACCATTTAAAGGAAAAAGATACCAAGATAAAATCTTATGAAATAGACTGTTACTCAAAGTTTGTTTTTATGTTGTAGAAAAGTTTTACAGCTTAAATCACTTCGGAAGATTTTTAAAAATACACATTTTGCACACTGGTAAAATAACAAATACAGTAAAAAACTATACATAGGGTTCTTCAGATTTACAAATATAAAATTTATGACTACAAAGTACTGCTAGCTAAGGACCAGGAAAATATATAAAACTGCTTGGTTATAACAATAAATTTTCTCCAAATATTTCATTAAGTTATTCTTGTATAAATTAATATTTACCAAGATCAAAGGAAACTTACCTTGCAAGAATTAGACAGTTCATTTGTGCAATCTCTGTTGCTGTCTCTTGATAAATTATCCACTTTACCTTCATTTCCAGATGCAAACTTTATGAGTAACTGAGATGGTCCCCCTTTAGAACAATTGTGCTTAAGGCTGGATAGACAGGAAATATTTGGATAAGCTCCTCCCAATGAAATACTTCTTTGTAAAATACCATGGTTTTTGTTCATCTGTGAATTTGGTCTTTCCAATTCTCCATTGATATTTATTTGATAATCTACGTTTTGGGAGGATGGCAAACATGCATATGTCCTATGCGTGAGCTTAATATACTCTGAATCAGAATTAAGCTTAATTTCTGACATTTCTGGTTTACAATCACCATTTGTTGTTTCACAATCTAATGTAGTTGTTTTTTGTTGGGTGAAATGCACTGAAACACAAGAATATCCTTCAGATGACTTTTCACAGACAGTCTGTTTGGGAGTATTATTCGAAAGAACAATTTTCTTCTGTAACGAGCCCTTCCTGTGAAGCGGACGTATGTCTCTTACTTCTCCGGGGGTACAAATTGTTTTAGATAACCGAAGTCCATTGACAGCTGTTGAAAGAAATCCTTTAGCACCAGTGCCACCCTCATTATGTGCAATTTCACTAGGAGAAATAATAAACTGGTGTGAAGTTTGATAGGATCCTTTGCTCAGAAGAGTACATGGACTTGTTGGAGAAGTCGGTGGGGTATTTGAAGGACTCCTAGGAAAAATGACTAAGGAGGAGCAACGTTTTAGTGGAATTTTTGTGTTCCTGCTCACTGGCAATTTCATAATCTCTAATCCATGTTCCAAGTCATCCTGGACAAAAGGATCTGTACTTGTACTTCTCGAAAAAATTTCACATGGAGTAGTATTCCTGTTTGGCACAATTCCACTGGAGGTGCTGTCAGAAGGTAAGTTTCCACCCAAAAAAGTATCATCACTTGGTGGCAACGTATAACTACTACTGTCACTGATGACACTGTTAGTGTATGAACCTCCACTTGTGATACTTGCGCATGACCCGAAATCACTACCGTTGCTGCTGTAAGATCCATTATCACTGGTTGAAAAGTTACTAAGGCTACCACTACAAATGGCTGGACTGCTTACAAGGTTACCATCATTCACTGCATTCAATTCACTATCGACCACAGCACTGCTGTAAATACCATCCTTCAAGATACAAGTAAATGAAGCATCCTCACTATCAGCTAAGACATTGCTAGACTGAAGATATCCACTGTACCTTGTTGGCTGTAGTGAAATCTGTAGACAGCTGCTCTTTTTATTAACATTTTCAGATGAGGGAACAGACGATCTTTCTTGAGACTGAACATTTTCCTTTATTAACGGAGCTAGTGCAGTCTGTCTGGGAGTCAGCTTCATTTGAACAACGTTAGACGCTGAAATCCGTGTTGGTCTCTTGAAGCACATGTGAACATGGCTATCCAAGTCATCTCCGGAGGTTTCTGACAAAGGGTAAGTATTGCTTCTTCTGGCTGCAAAGTGCAATCGTAAGCTTTGTGCCATTTGTTCTCATTTCCAAACATGTTAAGGGCTGAAAGTCATAACAAAGATCTCTGTCCGTAGACAGGCTAGAAGCAGCTGCACTGCATCAAAAGAAAAAATCATTTGTGGTGCCTAAAAGAGCTATTAAGTAGTAGTCTTTATCCTAAGTAAAACATTAGATACCAGATATCATAGGAAGAAAAAGACGACCCATTCCAGAGACTGATGTTTCCAAAATGTCTTGAATCGCTTGTAGTCAAAATGCCTTCACTTATAAAGCACTTGATTTCCAGCGACCTTTAAGCTGAGCTCAGCTGCAGCACACTGACTCAAACACAGCCAACCTTGTTTCAATTATACCTTCTCCAATTTGCATGAATGAGTAACACAAGAACAACAATCTTCTAACATTTCATGTTGAAACAGTATTTTTTCACCCCAGCTCTACTAAATGAACATTTAACTATGTGAATCGCAGTGCCTATACTTTCTCCAGCCAACTTTGACCACTAATATTTTTACCCATAGGTATAGAATTACAGGAAGTTGGTAGGAACGAAACCCCATGTAATTAAGTATCAAATCAAAGATTGAATTTCCAAATAGTAGTCATACTAGGAATCTAGTCAAGTTAGTTAATATAGGGACTGTTCATTTTTTTTTTTAATTTGTGAATTCAAACAGTTCTGTAAATTTGGAAATACCAAAACTTTAGGATGAATTAAAACTTTAGCACTACATCAAACAGATACATATTTTAGCTTCTAAAGTGCTAATTACATAAAAAGTGAAAGCTTAAGGACAGAACTACAAAATTAACCTAGTAATACCACTGCAAAACTGAAGCATAGGTTCGAGAAAAAAAGTTTAAGAGAAGCTGTCACTAAGCATTTTCTCCTGTAATTTTAAGGCCTTTTCCAGCCAAGTAGAACAGTCTTTAAATGATGCCATTTATATTTTGACTATTAAAACTCTGCCAAGAAATAGCCTAAGCAAACATTCCAATAAAAATATATGCAGATTAGAAAAAAGAAAACTATACCCCAAGATAGTTTGAACACATAGGATATTTTATTCCACTGTCTCTGCAATTCATTCACTTAACAGAGTGTTGTGGTAAGTAAAGAAGTCTAAAAAGGATTTAACACATCAAATAAACATATCTCAATGCCAATTCTGTTCTGAAAAACTCTAAGAGCTCTTTGCTGGCCCCTGCTGGTGCTTTGAAACAATCCATTTAGCTGTTTGATATCTATAAAGAAATACAAACCAAGCTGTACATTTCTTTATATAAACAAAGTACATACTTGTTTACATTTTTGAGAGCTAGCCCTGCCCTAGAGGTGGAATTACTCAGCAGTGCTGATAAAGCTTCCACAGTAGAGAACAGTGGACTGTTTGTCCTTTTAGAGGTTGTGATTTTGTATATATTTTTTCTGCTTTGTATTTATTTAACCTTTATTTTCAGTTTACTGGGTAATAAAAATTTAATATTTTAATTTCTCTCCCAAATGCCATAGACCAAGGTTGGTATTCTATTTGAAAGAAACAAATTTATTTTTAAATAATACTCTAGGGTATATTTAAACCCCTTACCTAAATTTTATAGCTGGAACTCCAGTAATAAATATATACTGGCTCATTCATAGGAAAGTGAAAGGTAAAATAGTTCCGTTGTTTATACCACATGCTACTACACCCAAGTTGTATTTTTCTAAGTAAGTTTTTTTTCCTAAGTAAAAGCAAATATGTAAAACATATACTTTGTTTTAAAAAAACTGCTTAAGATACATCTGTTTTCGATCAGAATTTTCTAAACAGATATTTAATCAATTAAGACACAACAAAATAGAATTATGGGAATTTATTGAATTATATTTGACTAGAATGAAACAGCATTGTGTTTTCAAATGTGTACAATAATTGGAAATTTAGTAATACAATTATGATGTTATTTTGGTTTTGTATAACCTATCTCCTTTAAGATTTTACAGACTTCAGTCAATATTCCCTTAACATCTTTTTCTTTTATATAAGGAGGAGTCCTGTTTTACTCTGCCTTCAAATGACTTCAGCTTGCTTTCTGGGATTAAGTGTGGGGTCTAATAACTCAAAGAATGAATCCCTTCTAATAGGCTAATCAATGAGATCTAATTGTTCGTGCCTGTGGCCTACAACTTCCTGGAAATAAGAAAAGCTCCTCTGATTATTAACATATAAAATAATGAGCTCCAAGTATTTGGCCAGATAAATGTCTTCTCTTTGATAAGCTTCACTATAAGCATCAGTTCCATGTCCCCTAACTAGATTTTAACTTTCCGGAGGGCATGGACCGTAACTACACGGTTCTTCTGAGGCTCCTGAGCTTGTCCTGGGCACAAAGTAAGTACCAAGAGACACCAGAGAGAAGTCTGGATGGATAGATGGTGTCACCACAGGCACTCTGAATGTCTGACGCTTTCTTTCAGGGTTTTTGTTGTTGTTGCTGAAGTTGATCCAGCTGCCACTTTTAAAGAAATATCAAAAAGCGCTGCAGGTGGACAAGAAGGAATGACGTTTTAAAAATTTATAGAGAGGGTCTCAGCCAAGGAAAAGTAAGGTAAGAGAATCACATCCACTTCCTAGCACTCTAGTCTGAGTTGAAATTCTAGGGAGGCTGAACAGTTTGCACTGCTGGCTGAGGTCTGAACATAGGATCTATACTGCTATTACAGCAGTTGCATGGGAAATGGGGGAACTTGCTATAAAACGTAGTTCCTCAGTCCAGCAAATACCAAACAGGAGTGTTAACCCTAACCTTAAGAGTAGAAGAACCGGAGGGACACGGCAGCCCTCATCTGGAAAGAATCCATGCACGTCCTACATAGAATTGCATATTCTGGAGTGAAACAGATTGAAGCTAAGAACCCCACATTCTGAGCTGTTGGTTACTGATCATCTACACGGAAAATAATGTAATTATCTACATGGTGTGGATAGGCTCTGGGTAATCTTAATCATTGACTGAACTTTGAAGGCCAAAGTCAGCTGCGGCGGTTAATTGTATGTATCAACTTCGATAGGTTATGGTACCCAGTAGTTTGGTCAAACACCAGTATAGACATTGCTATGAAGACACTTAGACATGATTAGCATTTACATCAGTAGACTCTGAGTACCGCACATTACCCTCCACAATGTGTGGGGGTCTTACCCAATCAGTCGAGGGCTTTGAGAGCAAACACAGGTTTTGTAAGAAGAAGCAATTCTGCCTCAAGACTACAATGTAGAATCCCTGCCTAAGTTCTCAGCTTCCTGGCCTGTCCCGCAGATTTCAGATTGCAGTCTTCACTATATACATACATCGTGTGGAAATATATGTATTCATATATTACACATAATTTCATATATAAAATGTATGAAAAATAAATAATACATAAAATATATACACAATCTATTGTTTCTGTTTCTCTGGAGAACCTTCATTAATACAACTGCTAAATGTGAGAAGCACAAGGTCTCCACCCAGAATACAGGCAGCTCCTAAAACCGGTGGCTGAATGTGTACAGGTGTATGTCTTAGACTGGTGACACAGTGCTAACTTTTGCTTTGGTGGGTAGAATTTTTTTAAGGCACATCATTCTGAAATGTTCTGTCATTATTGCCACCACCACTACTACCATCACCATAATGAAACGACTATATTTTAAAACCCTCAAGTCTTAAAATTGGCTGGAAAACAATGATATAAGCCTACTCTTTCTTGAAAGCAAATATCACTTATATTGCAAACGTTTTCCAGATGACTAAAGTTGTTTCTGCTTAATATTATACTTGTGTTTTTCACCCTCCATTTTCAAAGAGAAATTGCTAGGAGAACGGTACATTTTAAATTTAGTTGTGAGTGCCTCAGCAGAATAAAGATGGAATGACATTTATAATAACATAGATCACTTGTTGCTATACAATCAGGTATGTTACTCCACCAATGGCTATAGTTTCTATAACATCTCAAGTCATCTCTATACCTCCCTTACCTGCTGAGACTAGCAACAAATCAGCGGACTAGAATGACACACACCACCCTGTTCTAATTATCTTGGCTCTTTGTTTTGCTAGTAAACCAAGTTTCTCGAGAAAAGCTGTATTTCCCATGCATAGAAGAGCATCTAACACAGTAGATAAACTAAATGGTATATCTTAGCTAACACAAAATATACCATATCAGACAGCTACAAATGTGTAAGTCCATGAATGTTAAATAACACTTTATATTTGTATCATGATAAAGAATTTTCCAAGTATTTTCATAGTCACTGTCTCATTTTATCCTCACAACATGCTTATGAGATAGGCAGGGCAAATACTGTTGTCCTCATTTTTCAAATGTGAGAAGGTATTTTTAGAAGGCCTGAATAATTTGTTTAGGGTTACAAGCTAATGCCCCCAAAGAAATGCAGGATTATGATAGAATTTCTTAGTCCTTAGTGTGGGGATCTATAACAACTTTTTTTTTCCCCCAAAATGGAGTCTCACTCTGTTGTCCTGGCTGGAATGCAGCGGCGTGATCTCAGCTCACTGCAACCTCCACCTCCTGGGCTCAAGCAATTCTCATGCCTCAGCCTCCAGAGTAGCCGGGACTACAAGTGTGCACCATCACACCTGGCTAATTTTTGTATTTTTAGTAGAGACAGGGTTTCACCATGTTGGCCAGGCTGGTGTCAAACTCCTGACCCCAGGAACATCTCCTGATCCGCCCGCCTCAGCCTCCCAAAGTGCTGGGATTACAGGCGTTACAGTATCTTGATTAATGTATTTTGTTTTTTTTCCTTTAGTTAAAAGTTTTAAAAATTTTATTTGTCATATTTATCCATCTATAAATATCCAACTGTTAATATCAAAGGCAACGCTTTTTTCTTCCAACCTATCATGACGCACTTTATAGTATTATATACACAGTAAACGCTCAAGGAATGTTAATTTGCTGATCAGTGTTTGACAAACAGCCGTTCTGGCCATTAAGAAAGAGTCACACCAATACTAAAGTTACTAGCAAAACAGACCAGACCACATCTGTGTGGAAAGCACAGATGTGAGCTGTCCCTCCTTGTAGACAACATGCAAATAACGCAAATAAAATAGTTCACCAATAATACACCCAATGATAAGGCAGAATTCACATCGGTATCAGTGGCAACAGGAAAAATAACAGTAATACCATGATCTGGCAATTCAACTCTAAAACGTATCTCTTAGAGATACACTCAGACATGTACATACGGAGACATAAAAATGTTTATCAGTTGGTAAGAGCAACATACTGGAAATAACACTAATAACACTAATATTAAGGAGGTTAAATACATAAATTATAGCATTATGATATTTTCAGAGTATAGAAAATTATGCATCATTGAAAGGTGTCATCACAGATCTCACAAATACAACGTTAAGCAAAAAAGCATATCAGAGGAATGCCTACAGAGATATACTATTTTTATAAATTAAAAAATATGCAAAATAAACAAGGTGGATTTTTGTTTTTTGGAGATAGAGTTTTGCTCTTGTCACCTAGGCTGGAGTGCAATGGTGTGATCTTGGCTCACTGCAACCTCCGCCTCCTGGGTTCGAGCAAGTCTCCCACCTCAGCCTCCCGAGTAGCTGGGACTACAAGTGCCCACCATCATGCCCGACTAATTTTTGTATTTTTAGTAGAGACAGAGTTTCACCATGTTGGCCAGCCTAGTCTTGAACTCCTGACCTCAGGTGATCCACCTGCCTCGGCCTCCCAAAGCGCTGGGATTACAGGCATGAGCAACCATGCCTGGCCAACAACAATGTCTTTTTTAGGGATACACACACACACACACACACACACATATATATGTATATGTATATATGTGTATATATGTGATAAAAGTATTTTAAAAAGCAAAGAATGGCAAACACAAAATTGAGGACAGTGGCTACTAGTGAAGGAAGAAAAGGAGATGCTACTAAGGAGGGATCTAGGGAGGGTTTCAAAGATTTTGGTAATGTTCTAGTTCTTAAGCTGAGTAATGTGTATGTATATACATATTTGTCTTATTTAAAATATTTATATTATGTGGGCTTTTTTGTATGTATATTTCATGATTTAAAAACAAAACACACACAAGACTCCACCAATATGAAGTTTAATTTGTTTCCATCTAGAAGGGACCAGCCTGGCCAACATGGTGAAACCCCATCTCTACTAAAAATACAAAAATAAGCTGGGCAAGGAGGCGGGTGCCTGTAATCCCAGCTACTTAGAAGGCTGAGGCAGGAGAATTGCTTGAACCCGGGAAGCAGAGGTTGCAGTGACCTGAGATTGCGCCACTGCACTCCAGCCTAGGCAACAGAGTGCGACTCTGTCAAAAATAAATAATAATAAATAAAGGAAAACAGATCTATAGAGACAGACGGGAGAAAAAAGGA